ATATAAACACTGAATGGTACAAAATGTTGAAATGTCTAATATTGCAATTAAGAAATACATCAGTTTCAACCAGAAAAAAACAAATGCATAGCACAAGACACAAGAGCGCCACTCACACTTGACTCAAATGTTTGTGGTATAGAGTATCTGCACTGGTGAAGAATTATTATTATTTATTATTATTGACTCCAGCAAAACCTACAGTAGGAGAGAATTATGTATTACAAAACACATCTTTGGCAATTGTTGCCAGGATTGGGTAAAAAAAATGAGCAGTAGCTCTCTCTGTATACAGTTACAATACTAACAGCCTGAGTTATACATAGAAAAAATTTAAAGAAAAATGGTAGAAAATCTGGAATATGTATTAAGGTAGTATAAAATAAATATATATATATATATATATATATATATATATATATATATATATATATATATATATATATATATATATATATATATATATATATATATATATATATATATATATATATATATATATATATATATATATATATATATATATATATATATAAGGCTAAAATTTTGATCAACAAAACTCATGTGATTCTTGAAAATACTCATTAAAGCTTGCAATCTTAATCTCTTTCCCAAAAAACTATTATATGTCATACTGTATTGTATATTCTTCATCAAATGATAGAATTTCTTAATACTGTTCAGTGTTATCCTTAGGAGTTTAATAATAGTTACCGTGATAAGAAATGGCAAGAGATAAGTAATAACTAGTATTAACAATAATGATAAATCAATCAATTTAATATTTTAAATTAAAATGTAGGATTAAAAGGCAAGTGTGTCACATGAGCAATGGTCAGTTGGTAGTGTGTGAAACCTCAAATCTGATTTGCAAAATTTGGCACATGTTATACTGCATTTATGTACATAAATATACCAACACAGCGCCATTTAATATTTCTTTAATACACACAGTAACATTACTAGTCAAATTACAAGTCGGTTAAAAGTCAAATCTGTGTACAGTACAGGAAAAAATAATATATAGGAGGCAAGTAGAGATTGATGACAAGCTTTGTGCAAATATTGGTAGCTGTGGTGGTGATGCAAGGCTCGTGTACTGTCTCGTTATTATGTTATATATCTTATATACATTACACTTATGTTATCGAAAATAGCATTTTGTCTCTCATTAATATCTACTGTGAATTCTATGGGAAAGGTATATAGTAACTGACATCGGAGATTTGATGAAAAATACATCTTTAATATTTACAGTTTACCACAACAACAGTAAAGGAGAGCAGAGCGGAAGGGTCGTGGGGAGGTGCACCTCTCTTTTTTTTCTTATTATTATTAACAATGAAGTAAATTAATAACAATACAGTATTTTCTATTCCATAACAATATTACTGTAACTGTATGCAACTGATATTCTTAAAAATTAGATGAAAAAGAATGGTTGCTTTTAATGTATATTGAGCTTTTAACCATGATTCCAACATTTCTGTTCAAATGAAATACTGTATAACCTGGTGGTTCATTGCAACCAGCACCCTTATAAATATAACAGATGAGACAAATGTCTCTACCTGGCTATATAATATGTAAAATGGTAAAGCTTAAGCACCTCTTAACATCAATTACAGTACTAATTGTTATTTTAAAATTCTAGTACAGTACTGTAGTCTTCATGCAGGTTGTTAAATTTTTTCAAAATTTACAGGTAATTATGTTAAGTGAAAAATGTGTACAGTACTTTATAATGCTCTGAAGATTTATTAAAATGTAGTAAAGAAAAGGAAAATCTAACTTATGTTGGGTGAGCATCCTCCTACATATGATACAGTACATTTTATTTATGTCCACCAAATTCATCCCTTTCCTAAACTAACCCTCGGTAACTCCCTGGTGAATTGATTGGCTCTGGTACCAGAGAAACAGCTACAAAATTACCAGGCCTCTGGACTTGCATAGGCCTATTGAACACATGGACCAGAATCTGGTGTATTTATTAGGTGAAGGGAACATGGAAATCTAAGATTAACCTCATAACTGAGTAAGACCTCTCAGAAAGTGCAGATGGTGGAAAAAAAAAATACCGTGTATGGTATCTTCTGCAAGGATTGATACTGTTTCTGGGAGGGGCACGAGGCAAAGGGAACATGGAAATTAGGGATATACCCAACTTGTTCAGTCTCTGGTGGCACAATGGTAACACAATTCCTCTGTGCCTGAAGCCTATGTTTGAGTCCTGGCCAAAGAGGATCGTCTGGGCGTCAGTCCTTAATTTTTTGCTTATGTTCATCCAGCAGCAGTAATTGACAGCAGCCTGGTTGTTAACTGATTGGTGAGTCATGTTCCACAGAAAAACTAATGGGTAAAGCTTACCATGAGTTATGGGAAGAGAAAGCTCTCAGTCAGTTAACAGGAGTCATTTGTTCTTGTGCTTACCCGAGAGAAAAAAAATATAATCCCCACTACCTTACCTTGCAATGATTTCGGGGCTCAACATCCCCGACCAGGCCTCCTGGTTGCTGGACTGGTCAACCAGGCTATTGGACGCGGCTGCTCGCAGCCTGACACGAATCACAGCTCGGTTGATCAGGTATCCTTTGGAGGTGTTTATCAAGTTCTCTCTCTTGAACACTGAGAGGGGTCAGCCAGTTATGCCGCTTATGTGTAGTGGAGGCATGTTGAACAGTTACGGCTGTTCAAGAAAGAGAATAACTAGAAAAAACAGGTACAACAAAACAAGCAACTGAAAGAAAAAAATAATGAACCTGAAGGTAACAAGACAAACCATCACTATCTTGATGTCCCTGCATACAGAAATAACACCACATGAGACCAGAAGGCATGGCAGGATGTGCAGAATACCCCCGTTGAAAAGTAGAGGTGCAATAGGTACTCTGAGAGAGAACTCTACATCAGAGGCCCAAGACTGTTCAACACGCTTCCACTACACATAAGGGACATAACTGGCCGACCCATCACACTGTTCAAGAGAGAACTTGACAAGCACCTCCAAAGGATACCAGATCAACCAGGCTGGGATTCACACGTCAGGCTGTGAGCAGCCATGTCCAACAGCCTGGTTGACCAGTCCAGCAACGAGGAGGCCAGGTCGACGACCGAGCTGCTGGAAAGCTAAGCCCCGAAAACACCTCAAGGTATGTAAACACTAATAATGTGTCTAACTGGCAATAGGTGGTAGCCCAGGTCACTCGAGGCTCTAAACTCCCCCATCCTCCAAGTTGCCTAAGCTCAGTTTGATTGCCTGTACCTCTGCTTGAGCCTGTTTGTCTACTTTACACTTAAGCAAAGTGGTATTGGCTATATGTACCTGGAACATACACTTTGCCAGGGGGGCCATTACTTTATCAATTTGTTTTGCCTCATGTTAAAATTTTATGTTGCCTACATTGTGTTTCTCCTGGAACATTATTTCATGCTGATTTTAAGCCAGGGTTCCTTTTCTTGGTGGTCGGCTTATGCTTTTCCTGTCTCAACCGAAACTCCTGCCCTGAAGGGTTTGGATTCCAACTCTGTGAGCAGACTTCTCAAGTCACTTCATTTCCATATAGGGCACAGGACTTGTTCTCCACTGCAATGGATGTCAATGAGGAATAGAGCTTTTTTACAAGTTAGCTCTGCATTGTCTTCATATTGCAATTATGCTTGACCCTTCTGCTTGCATGTGTGATAGCTTTGTACTTTTGTTGAAGACTTATGTTGTGAAAGTGATCGTTCTTAACCAAGGCTGCTTCTGCCTTTTATCTTTTGATATAAGGTCAAGATTAGGTGTTTGCACATACAGAATTTGCTGACTCATGGTGCATGGGTGAGAGGGCTTGAATAATCTATTTGGATGGTTTTTCAGGGAAGGGTTGAGTGGCTCCACAAACTACCTGCTTGGTTAGCTCCAAGCCTTCATTAAGCACCCCACATAGGTCCTTTGAATCATGAGAGCATACCAGGGACCAGGACCTGCCCCCTCAATTGATGCAAGGAATGTCTGGGGATACTGATCAACCCAGACCATAAGAAAAACACCAGAAAGGTAGACTGCCCCAAAACAAATAATTGTATATAAGCATTAGTAATCTCGATAACAAATATATATGTACTTGTCCAGACTCTACTTCTAGTTGGTTACACTTGTGCACCACCAGATGGCAACTCTAGGACCCACACTGACTTTTCCCTTCAGTCATGCATCTGGTGTGCTTTAGGCCATTATTCCTAGTACCTTATCTACTCTCTTTTTCATATACAGTAACATGTGCATTTTTTCAGCTTTGTTCATGCTTTTTCTAGCCTTGATAGTGTTGGTAAGCCTTTAGTGTTGTTAGCCTCGACTGCTTGTTAATAGCGTTCCCTTCTTTAGTTGTTGCTGGTGTTGTCCCTGCCTTTCAGGTTTTCCTTCCCTGGGAGGTGTAAGTCTGCTCCTTGGGGCTTCCTCCTAGTGAGAGACCTCATCCTGGGTAGTATATGGGCTTCGGCTCCTATATACTGATCCTGATGGTTGGGGTGAATAGGGTTTTATTTTCATAGGTTATTGCTCTAGTAGTGGCTTAGACCTTACTTTGACATTTCTCAAGTCAAGTGTTGGTGTATGAAGTGCATTTTCTTTCTCTTGGCCTGTGTCCTGTGTTGGTGTTGGAATACCAATAACAGTTTTCTCTGGTTTGTGTTAGTATTTCCATGCAGGCCTTGTGTGTCCTAAGATTGGTATGGACATTGTTTCTGAGCTTGCTGCCATAGCAGTTTGGTATGTGCCAATAGTCATCCTTTCTGTCTGCTCCATTCCACATGTTGGGTTAATAATTGTTTTCATTCGCAGGTCTGCTACATGTGTTGTTGGTCTTTGGTTTTAACACCTCTTACCTTTTGTGGGGTTTGGTTTATGAGATGGTAGCTGCTTTATGAGGCAGGCATTCTATTTTCAATTTCTGGAGTCCTGGTCAGGCTTGGATGCTGCAGAGTTGGAATTTGCACCTCCACTTTTTTTTTGACGAGGTGGATCATTTGGTTATGCAAATACTGTATGTTCTAGGTTTGCTCTTCTTTGGTTTCGGGCCGTGCTGGTGGATGGAGAGGGTTTCCTTTGGATTTATGAAATGTTTGGCCTCCCTCAGGTGGATCTCTCTGGCTCTGTGTAGAACCATCAGCTGCCTCTACATGTTACTCCTTTTCTTGATTGCAGAGCATTTGCAGTAGATGAGGTCCTCTGGTGGTGTATGATTAGTTTGTCAAAAAAAGAGGTGCATTGTGCATTCTGTCCTGTTGCATGGAGGTTGTTCATGTATCAAGTTGCTCATTTTGTTAATCCCGTTTCCTTGATGTCTTTCTCAAGTTGTCCTTCAGGTGGGTTGATTCAGCCAACCTGATGTGAATGCAGTTGCACACGATGTGTGCAAGTATGCTGTTAATATGTACATGACTAATATCCTGGTGGTCTAATAGAAAGTTGGCTGCATATTACATTTTTGATGTCTATCTTCTTCAGGGCTGTTTGGTCCTGGGATGCTTTTTCAATTACAGAGTTCATATTTTTATTAAACTTGGGATTCTAATCTTACCTCAAAGGCCAGTCCTATCTTTTTTTTTTTAGTTTTTTAGTCTTAGTTTTTTTTTATTTTACACCATAGCCAGTTTTTTTTCTGAGGTCCCATTTGGAATGTGCTTTTAAGGTGGCAGCCTCATTAGCTCCCTGTATCCTTTGCCCCCTTTTTCTCATGGGGATTCGGACCACTTTGGGGTTGCACGTGAGTGCGATGAGCATGCAGATGGAAACCTTGGTGATCTGAGCTGCCAATTGGAGGTGTGGTTGCTTTCTAATGCATGGTTTGTTGACATTAGGTAAACTTCAGCTTCCCTTACCTTTTTCTTCATTAAGATAGTTTATTTTGCTTTGCCTGTACTTTCTGGGTGATTTTACTTGGCTATGAGATCAATTTGAGATCTACATGCTCCCCTCTTACCATGAGCTAACCAGATTCTGGTACTGGTGTTCATTAGGATAGCGCAAGTCTAGTAGCCTACCCTTTTTATTAATTATGCCTAGTATACCTGTCTCTCTCTCAAGGTATATTCCATTAAAATATCTCATACACTCATGCTACCAGGAAAGACTTTTCCTGTCATGGTATAATTTCCTCATTCATTCATTGTGGACAAGTGTCTTTTGGATACTGCTCATTATATATACATATTACAAATATGTTCACAAACAAAATCACAACACAGAAATCAAAGCTACTCTATATAAATCCTGTTGTATGGTATAAGATTTTTTATTATATGAAGCACACTACATGGTCCCATAGATATATCTGTTCTTGAAGCTTGCATATTAGAGCTGGCCGTAAAACAGCTGCTTAAAATGCCTCTCCTAGAAAATGAATTCATTATATCTGAAACACTAATTGGAAGCTTATCCTATATACATATGTACAGTAGTTCATGAGCTGCTTCCTTTCCAATAAGGTACGGTATATTTTTCATTGAAAATCCACAAGTTGGCCATTCCCATATATACATTATGAAATAGTAGGCTTGTTTATAAACATACACTTGAGAACTGTATGCAAGGACATGCAATTCTAGAATATCACTATGTTGCAGACACGATCAATAACACTAAAACTTAGCACTGCAATGATAAATTAAGTAAAATATGAATAAGCAATAAATTTAAACCTTATTAACAGATATTGACATACTGAACAAATGAAGCTACTGCAAAACTGTATGAAGGCAGTTACAAAATACTACATTATAAACAGAAAATCTTATCATCATCTAGGCATAATTACAATGAATTTATGACACTAATGCAGTCAGCTGTCATTCAATAATTTCAATGATGGAATAAGAAATCTGAAGACTAATCATAATCCATTTTTAAACTTTTGTGAAGTACTGTACATGCATGTACAGTAATGATATACTGTATTCTGATCAACATAACCCCTTCAGAACTGGACAACTGTTAATACACTAAGATTTTTTTCCTATATACAAAATTTCATAAACACTAAACAACATTTAGGCTTCTCATAGTTATCAACTTTTTACATTTTTATCCTAGAAAAATGTCATGTTACAAAGTTTAAAATGCTTTCTCACAAAAAAGTTTAATCGTGTGTAAATTTTCATGCGGCTTATGTAGTATTGATATTTATATAACATAGTGTTGATAATAGAAAAGTATAGAGGAACAATAATTCCCTTTTAATATGGATTAATGTGTAAAGAGGGCCTATTGAGTTTGACACTAGCTGACGACAAACAGATCTGTTTCAAGCTGCTGATTACTACCCAGATGCCTCTGTATATAAATGACTAGTTGCATCAGACAGTACCATAATGAGAATACAAATATCCCTAGAGAAACTTATTTCCAGCTTTCATTATATAACTGTAGCACAGGGGTCTACCGCTTCAGCTCATCACCAAGGATCTTTGGTGGGACAGACGGCTGGGCATGTTTCCTTTCATTTGATTGTCTGTTCACCAAGCAGTAAATAGGTATCCATGAGCTAGGCAACTATGTTGCATACTGCTCATATGTAGTACTCAGTAGTACTGCATACTACTGGTCTTTAGTGATTGGCCTAAAGGAACTTGGCTAGCGTAGCATGCTTCCTGTCTCCAACAATGGGAAACCATAAGGTGAGCCCTAACATTTTGGTGGATACTTGTGGCACTTTCAACTGTATGAAAAAAGTACACATGGCACACTGGATATAGTGTACAATTCTTCAAAAACTTTTAATGACTGGACTAGAGATGCTTATAATGTCATCAAAGTCTGCAGGTAACAAAACCCCTTAATTATAAAGTTTTGATGATTTGATGCAATTATAAGATGTTATAAAAATTCTCTTCACTAAGTGAAGGAGCAGTCTCAATTGCTCCTTCAGTTGAGAACTGGAGTCTCACTTAAATATGCACTGAACATCTACAAATGTGACAGGCTGCTCATCAGTGGCATCATTCACATGGAAATGTAAGACTGCATCACCAGTAAGTAAAAATGTTAAACTGAAATAAAAGTAATGTTTGCAGTATAGTGCAAACGGCAAGATGTTTACTCTGTCTTGAAACAACACTTTTATATTCAAATATTAATGAAAGTCACAGTTTCCTCATCATTCAGCAGGAGGAGGTAGGTACCGCACTAACACACTATACACGAGACAGGTATCCACACTTGTCTCTCACCAGTGTCAGCTTAAACAACTTAGTTTATTGGACATCATACTCCAAAATCTCACTGTTCCAAATTTGTTTCATTTATGCTAGATAATATTACGGGCATTGATTCTATTTGTGATTCTCTGTGGAGTTTGTTGATCCAGTTTTTGGGCAGTCTTCTTCTATAGTATCATGACTTTTGCCATTGAGAAAATATGTTATCATATCTCCCTTTCCTTTAACCTTGATCACCCCCCGGCATGTAAGTGGGTAACCCTTCTTGTGTAGTATCTGGTAAACTTCTTGAGTGACCTAGAAACAGAGAGAGTTTTAGTCTCGCTAACATTTGCTTTGATACTATCACATACCTGGTCATGTGTTCTAGGATTTTCTCAAGGTACAGTACCAATTTACATGTTGACTGGTAGAGCTTAAGTACAAAGTATATTATTCTTGCTTCATGGTACAGTATATTACAATTTCTTTTTTAGACGGTGCATTAAAGTCACAATTTGAATGTAACATACATACATACATACATATATATAAATAAATAAATGCTTTAGGCTTCATACTAGATATTTCTCATGTGAAATGTCAAGAGAAAGTATGTTTAAAAATGACTACTGACTAGTACTTTTCTGGTAAGGCTCCAATTGGTAGCTCCTTGGTGCTAGCCTCCTGGGACAGCTCCACCCAAGTCAAGTCAATCCACACCAGGCCCCTTGCAAGTCATTATAAGTCTATGGCAGACCAGAGGCCAAAACCTGGCCCCTCCAAAGAGGTTCTAGGAGCAGGGTATCACAGGCCACCCTATCCAAGAAATGGCCACCAGAAAGATGGGTGAACCAAAACATAGAAACTGCAAGGTAAGCAAATCATAGAATATGAAAACGAAACGATGAAATACCACATTGTATAAACCGTCCGGTTGTGAAGCAGTTCTCTCATTAATTTCACCTGGGCACCACCAGGGGGGGGGGAGAGGTAAATGCACACTTGCCTCCTTTATTCCATAGCCATGATCCTCAGTGCAGATGATGTCACAATAATGTGACTGAAGATATTATATCCAAACCACAAATCAGAACACGAAGAAACAATGACATTTCAGTCAGTCATGGATCATTATCAAGTCGTGTAATGGAAAGAGAGAAGAGATAAACAATATGAGGGAAGAGAATGAGATGAAAGGTCGTCATTTCTTAATTTTCTGATGTGTGGTTTGGATATCCTGACCCTCAGTCTTTTGCCTGGCGTGCACACACGTCACAGTTGCACTTTTCATTCCTGCCATCTCTTCGAGTCCTAGTTATTCAGATCAGTATTGGCTATCCTACACACTGTTCTGTCTTGTTGGGGCCACTTGCATGTGCATTTGTTCTATATTTTAGTGTTTTATAGTGCATGTTTATTATTCCTCTCTTCTTGTGTGTGACTCTGATTAACTGTTCACCTCAAACTGCTTGTGCCTAAATTTAGTGATCATTTCTTGGTATTTGCTGATGTTGCCTTTGTCTGGCTAGGGTTACCTTCCCTGGTGGGTTTAGGTAACTGTTTCTGAAAAGCTGACTTCCAGTGGAAGATGCTGTACCCTACCTGTTGATTCCTAGGATCAATGTCCCTGCTGCCCAGTCTCTGACTGGGCCTCCTGGTTGCTGGTCTGATCAACTAGGCTGTTCAATGTAGCTGTTTGCAGTCTGATGTACAAGTCACAGTCTGATTGATCAGGTATCCTTTGAAGGTGCTTGTCAAGCTGTCTTTTGAACACTGCAAGAGGTCGGTCAACTATTCCCTGTATGTGTAGGGAAAGTGTGTTGAAAAGCCTTGGACATTTGATATTGACTGAGTTCACTCTCAGCATGCTTATTGTACCTCTGCTTTTCAGTGGGGCTATTTTGCACATCCTGCCATGCCTCCAGGTCTCATGTGGTGTTATTTCTGTGTGCAGATTTGAAACCAGTCCTAACATTTTCCAAGTGTAAATTACAGTATTATGTATCTCTCCTGCCTGCACTCTAGGGAATACGGATTTCAAATTCTTAGATGGTCCCAATAATTTAGATGTTTTATTGAGTGGATTCTAGCAGTAAAAGATCTTTGTGTGCTCTTCAGCTATGAATGGGGCTGTTATTGTGCCAAAACATTTCACTCTTTAAGAGTACTAATGTCTAAAAAAGTTTCATTGGCATGGCAGCTCTTGTTTGGAAGGTTCCTGTTATCCAACCTATCATTTTTCTTGCATATGTGACAGCAACTTTGTTGTGTTCTTTAAAATAAGGTCTTCTGACATGATTACTCCTCAATCTTTTACATTGCTTTTTCTTTCAATAGTGTGGTTTGACTGTTTTATTTGTGGCTTCTGTTTTGATGTTTTTGTTTTTTCTATAATACATTAATTGCAACTTACGCTAATTAAACATCATGTTATTTTCTGGGCCCACTGAAAGACTTGATTAACATCAGATTACAGGTATGCTGTGTCCTCTATATTGTCTACTCTCATGAAAATCCTAGTGTCATCTGTAGAGGATGATACATTACTATAGTTTATATCTGATGTGTGGATGAGGAAAAGCACTGGAGCCCAGAGCAAGCACAATACCTTCTGTGACTGACTAATCCATGATTAATGATTCTGATTTTACTTTGTTGACTTGTAATTCGGTTATTTCTGCAGTTTCTCGGGTGTTTAGATTTGCATTTTCCATTAGTTATTCCTGATAGCCCATATTTACATGCACCCGATGCATAATATTGGCAGGTTCCAGGCTCATGCTTTGTTGGATTATCTTGGTATATCTAATTACCTAAGTAATTACCTAAGTGTAGTTACAGGATGAAAGCTACGCTCGTGGTGTCCCGTCTCCCCAGCACTCTTTGTCATATAATGCTTTGAAAAATCTGTAATATAATTTGTGTTGGCTCTTTGCTGAAAGATCAAAGATTTGTGTAAACATCTTAGATTCCTGTTACTGTATTGCTCAGTCACTTCATTAAACTGTTCATGAACTGTCTCTAATATTTCTTTCACTTTGGCCACTTGTGTATGGGGTTAGCTGCATATTCTTCTTGCACATTCCTATATCCTGTGTAACCTCCATCTTTTCTGACAACAGCTCTTTTTGTTTGTTGAATTTCCCTGCCTAACTTATTGTAGTCACTAACACCTGGATTTCATTTAACTTTAAGAGCTATTTTACTTCATTTTCATATACTTCATTTTCCTCCTCCAGGAGTTTTCCTTTAGTTTCCCAGTGTTCCTTATCATTGCATAATTCTTTTATTTGATCTTCCAGAGCTGTAACTTTGTATCACATTCCTTTGGTGGTGCGCAAGTGGAGCTAACGAGACAACCGCTTCATGACTGGGTGCCTCAGGCATCTTGAGGCTTCGTTTTCTCATTTTCTTTGCTTTGTGTACCTTGTTGTTTGTATCTTTTAGTTTTTGGAGGCCTTTTCATGGTTAGGGTGATCTAGCATCCCCTGATCTGTGTGCCTCTTCAGAGGGGTCCAGGTTTTGGCCTTTGGTCCCTGGTAGGTTTAAAGTGACTCACAAAGACCTGGTGTGGATTGAACTGGGAAAAAGCTATCCAGGCAGCTAACACCAAGGAGCCACCAGAGAGGCATTTCATTACATTCAAAGTTGGTTTTATCAACTTCATAATCACTAGACTTAATGTACTTTGCAACAATTTTGTTATCTATATTATTTGGCTTCAAATGTTCTATTTTCTTTGTCTCTTTAGGTTGTTTTGATGATTAGGAACCAGATTAGGACTTTATCACTTAAATAAAGTACAGTATACATCTTTATTCCCTAAATCATTATAATTATCCCTATATTTTGTTTTTTTGATGGAGGGTTATTTTTTCTTTACTTCAATCCAACACACAATGACTTGCAGCTTTCACACATTCGAGTACAAATGCCAAACAATGTTTATTAAAACAAACAAGTAAATTAATGAATTATAACTACCTTACTCATTGTAGACAACTTCAACTTCAATTACACGTATCTCTAAAATTAGTTTCAACTTTGAGTCAGCTTAAAATAATCCAGTTTTTGACCGATTTTCGCCATTTTTACATATAGTGTGCACAGCTGTCTGTTCTACAATCCTATTAGAATGGATTTTTCATAAAACCTAAACATATGGAGTTATAAATTGTTTTGTCTAAATTTGGCACCTACTGTATTTCAAATGCCACATTGACAATTTTTTTTTTTTACATTAAACTAAACTGAAAACCTATAGTGTATTCTAAATCTATTCATGAAAATGAAGATCATACGCTATTCTGAGAACATAATACAAACACCAAATGAACAATTGGTGATATTTTATATTTTTGCAGCTGATTTGAAAAACTGAAGTTTTCAATATTCAATTATATAATTATTTTTTATTTTCTTATTTTTCAAGTTACGTTTGTGATCATTTAGACAAAGTTGCAGGATTTGCTAGTAGATTATGCACAAAATATAGGAAATCGTTTGATCAAGTTTGAGAAATTGATCTTATGGTACCATTAGGTCCTGTCGTATACGTGTGCCTTGTGCAGTTTAAGGGTTAAAGTGTTGTTATCATGTGTTGATTTTAGTTATCAGGTGGCATCATTACCCAGTTTTTATTCAAATGATTATTATATGTGGTTATAATGCATCTATATGGATGTATTAAGAGTTAACCTAGACCCATGAAAAAATATATAATTTTTAATTTTTATTAAATACTTCTTATTATATTATATGAGGTTTATTATAGGTTATTATAAATTCACTGAATCACCAGCACTGTGCCTATCATCAAATCACACTTTGTTGTTTCCTGCCAGTGTTTGATTCTATTTCTGGACAACATTACTAGACAGAAGAGAAGCACATGAGTGAGCTGCAAGATGTATACTTTGAGCTGTGCCAGGAACAGATTTACATGCTATATAGGTGTACATAATACTGTGTAGACCTATACTGTACTCACATTTTTTCTGTCAATTACTGTATGTGTAAATAATTATTCCACACTGTTTAAACTAAAGTAAAACAGCAGTACAGTACTGCATGTGATTTAAGTATACCTTAGAAGTCATCACTATCCTACACACCTTAATTTCATTTGAAGTTAGACAAATGAGGAAAAGGTTAAAACAAATCAAGCTGCTTGTATGTATTAGCAGAGTAAGGCACCTAACACATTCAAAAAATAAATCTTACTTGTATTTTATCCAACTCCCCAGTCGAGTCCATGCGCGAGGCCACATTGACAGCATTGCCCCAGATGTCATATTGAGGTTTGCGAGCACCTATGACACCAGCCACTACCGGCCCAATGTTGATACCTACAGAACATAAACAATTTACCTCGTCTTTCTCATGGTATTTACACACATTGCTAATACTATTAAACTAATACTTTCTGTATAAAACTGATTTTGATGATGTACTTGAAAAATTGACCAAGCAGCCTACAATTGTACAATGACTGGTCTTTTATAATTACTGTACAGTACTCATATCTGCACACTGCCACTTTACCACTATTCCTTAACAGCAATACTGTACAGTACAATAATAATAATAGAAATTACACAGAAATCAAACTAATGTGATATATATATCAATGAGAAAATCAACTGGAGCTCATAGGTGACTTGGTCGAATCTGCGACCAACGGACGCGGGTTCATTGCATAGATGTGCCGGCTGGCACTCCGTTGGTCGTGGGTTCAAGTCACCTAAGAGCTTCAGTTGATTTTCTCAATAATAGAAATATTGTAATAAGCATTTCCATGGTGGTGTTGGCAGAAGGAACATTACTGAAAGTTGTCATATTCCAAGAGAATGTGTACTTTCTTAAGCATTTATTTTACAGTAATGCCTAGTTGTTTCCAAGGGGAGTATAATACTGTAGCTACAAAGACCTGCAACAAAAATAAAATGAATACTTACCAATTCGAATTTTAAAATTATTGAAGGAATGTTCATTCACATACTCCAGCTGGTCCCGTAGCCTCAGAGCGTAGTCTGCCATGGCTGTGACATGACTGAAGTTTTTCAAGTCTCTCGACGCTTTTGTTAGACCTGGCAAGATTGTTGAAGATACAGACATGTTCACCTATACAAGGAAAGGGAGACTTCACTTATAATCATTTAGAAGATTTAATAGCCTAGAACAAAGAGCACAAACAGAACATGCCTTATTAGTGCAGGAATTTATAACGAACCCACAGGGAAAGTCTCTGGAATAAACAAAATTCAATAAATACTTTTACATCCCCTAATAATGTTTTTGGTCATCTTAAAAAGACAGCATAGTTGTAGAAATATGAAGTGGTGTTACTGGTGAGCTGCTAAAGTGCTAGATTCACTGGAACATGAGCAAGAAGGGTCAATGGCTGAATATGAACCAGCTGCCCAATATGGAACTCAGAAGCCCTAGGGAACTGATTCCAAAGGCACAGGGACACCCAGGCCAAAGGCCTAAGACATAAATGGCCAAAAGACTGAGAGACAGACTGAAAAGCCTAGGGCACCCAGTCAAAGGCCTGCAGCAAGGTGCCTGGATGCCCAAGCAGGATAACAGTGAGTACCATGATCATAGTGGTAGGTGTTGTTTATACCCTTCCATTAATGGGAAGGTTAAGGGAGGAATTTTTCGAGAATAAAAACAAAAACCCCTACCCCCCCCCCCCTGCCAGCCAACAACTTTAACCTAGAGAAACCTGAAGCAAGAGCTTAAGTGGAGGGAAGATGCAAAAATCCAAACTGAGGCAGCCAGCCAACAGGCAAGCACCTTGAAGGCCACATGGTCACGGAATTGGTCGTGGAGGACAGGAGACACAGGGCCAAGTGGATGCACATGGGACAGAATTTAGACCATGCAAAAACTACACACATTCCACACCAGCAAAAAATGAATTACCTGGGGAGCAAGCAGGAGCATGGAACCCAAAGAAGATGCAGAGAAAGTCAGTGCAATGAACCCACAATGAACCACACAAAATAAACTGAGCACCCTATCCAGAGAAACACAAGGAATGCAGGTCACAAAAAACCCACCCCAGAGTGAAGGGAAAATTTAACAAAAAAAAAAAAGTGAAGGCCTGAAACTGGCAGATAGCAAACAGAGCTCCACAAAAGAACATGCCACACAGCCAAAATGACAGACTATAGCCACCTCAGGGAACAAAAGAGGAGAAAATAGAGAGGCCGACAAGAGGGAACCACACCAAATCAAAGGTATGGGACAATACAGTTAACGGCACATTAAAGATGAAAAGGTATCTGCAATTGTCTCCATAAGGTGATGAGTGAGCATCTCGGCAGCCCAAACTGCAGGCAACAAAGCTAAGCACCATGTGCTTTTCTCATTAATCAAACGAAAGCTCGTCAATCGAGACAAATTTTCGGCGAGTGGTGTGCTCGTTACTCGAAATGCTCGTAGATAGAGGCGCTCGTCACTCGAGGTGCCACTGTATTACCTATGGGTATATGTTAGTGCTAGTGCCTTAAGCTCCTGGAAGCTATTGAAGGGACCAGCACAGAAACCCTCTAAAAACTCACCCATAGATAAACACGAATAGCCCTGTAAAATAAAGCTTAAATAGAAATCTAGACTGCCTTAGTCATAAACAGCCAGTTTAATTAAATAATTCAATGTCTATTTGTGTATTATATTGTCGAATAATCTTCAATTTTATTACATTATAATCGTCACAAATGATCCGATTTCCATATACAGTGGTACCTTCATTTACGGTCGTAATCCATTCCCAGAGATGCGTCGTCAACCAAAACGAATTTTCCCATAAGAAATAATGCAAATTGAATTAATCCGTTCAACACCCCCAAAAATATTAACTTAAAAATACATTTCATATCGAATAACACTCATTTTGTACTAGCTACAACAGAGTACAGGTATGTATATCTTACCTTGAATAAGGACTCTTGTTGGCGTATGGAAGACGGTGAGGAGGGGGGAGGGAAAGAGGGAGGAGAGGTGTTACTGTTTGGAAGGGAAGTCCTCTTCCATTATAACATCAGGCAGTGACTTTTCTGGGGTACGCTCTCTCTCCTATGTTTTGCAGGCATACCACTAGGACATGGTTGTGGCTCACTGCTTGCTTGTTTCATATATAAGTGTGTACTAAGAATCTGTCTATAGACACATGTTTTTCCTTATGTTTTAACACTTGTCTGTAGTGAGACATCACACTGTCTCACCATGAATGATCTCATGTTTTTCCTCTATCGTCATCCTCACAACTATTTTCTTAGGTTGAACTATACCACTGACTTTCTTGGGACCCATGGCATGATATATAATAAGAACCTTTATGCTAAAAAAAGCAGAAAAGCAGGCAAACAATGAAATTTTTCACAAGAATTCAAGCATAGCTGCGGTCGTCAGTACTTGGATAGACTTGTAAACAAACAGAGCATTACACGCTCGTTCAACCCATACTTGTACGAGCAGACGTCGTCTTTCAAGTAAACCGTCATACACCAATTTAAATTTTACGATGAATTTGATGTCAACCAAAAAAATCGTCCGCTAGGGCAGTCGTCAACCGAGGTTCCATTGTATAACAATTACTTTACTCGGTATTATTAGTATAACTAATGTTTCTTTTTAAATAATAAGTACAATATACAGTACTGTATTTAAAATGAATGCAAGTCTTGCCTGAAATACCATGCATACAAACGAGATCAGACCTTTAAATACCGAACTGTGCTATACCTCACAAATACTAGGTAAACTAATCACATGAATTTTTAAGTTCTGCAGGGAATACTTGTAAAATATACAAGTGTTTACACTAACTTTAATAACATCATTTGTGAATATGGATATACCGTGCATACAGTATTATTATTAAGTATTATCATTAACATGGCCTGACATTTTGTGGATTCAAAATATTATTCTGAATTTGTGCATAGCCTAACTTCAGAAGGGCTAACTTCTATTGCTATGTCACTAGTAATAAAGTTTAGACACATTTGCCAACCAATTCTCTTACTGCCAAGAATCTGTCGTAAAAGTGACTTAGGCGAGTGTCAATATTTGAGGCGTGATAACGTGTGAGTGATGCCCTCCAAACATATCACCACATTGTAGTGACTTACATGCTACAGCCACATATGTTGTCCCAATTGACTTGACTACCTGCTGCAGCCGTGAATGTCACCCCAGTAGACTTGACTTGCCTGCTGCAGCCATGAATGTCACCCCAGTAGACTTAACTTACCTGCTGCAGCCATGAATGTTGCTCTAGTTGACTTGACTCACCTGCTGCAGCCATGTATGTTGCTCTAGTTGACTTGACTTACCTGCTGCAGCCATGAATTCTCCCTAGATGACTTGACTTACCTGCTGCAGCCATGTATGTTGCCCCAGTTGACTTGATCTTCTCAATGTATTTAAAACGTTCCTCCTCGAGTAGCTCATCAAAGTCTGCAATGATCTCGTTGAGGAGACGCAGGCACTCCACTCCCTCATTGTTGGACTCTAGCTCCATGTAAAAGTCAGAGAAGTTGGGGATGGAGGCAAAGAGAATGCACACACTCTCACACTCCTCATGATACAGCTCCTGAGGGAGAGGATGGCACCTAATGTAGCTTCCATGCATATGGGTGAGTGTGATTTTGTGCACGCTACACAACTTTGCTACGATTGAGCACCAGCCTTGGGTCCCACCCCTTAATTCATCATTAATCACCTATGCGATGCATCCTGGACTGATGATTAATATTTTTACATTTAAACCTGTTTTTAAATGTTTACATATTCTACTTCCTCTCCTAGCTCAGTACTCTTACCATTAAGAAGTTCTTTCATATATCTCTAATCTCTAGTTCTTCCTTATATTTTGTATTCATTTAAGTGTTAGGCTTCCACACATCATGATCTCAAACTTGTAAGTTAGTTTTTCTGGTGCCTAACTTCTCACCATCCCGTATCTACTGAGGCAATGAACAGCATGCTTGTGCATCAACATTATTGTTCCTAACAAAACACTGGTAAGCAAACACCTTCCAAGGATACAGTACCTGATCAACCAGGTTGTGATTCATATGTCAGGCTATGAGCAGCTGCATCAAACAGCCTGGTGGATTGACCAGGAAGCCTGGTCAGGGGACACAGGTACATTGATCCCCAGAATCTTCAACAGGTAGGTAGGCAAAACTCGTTTCACATTTTGTACCAGTACTAGAGCATCTCTCTTCTCCTTCAGCAGTTCATAATTTTGCCTTCACCTCTAATCCTGGGTAGTCTTCCAAAGCAGCTTCTGCTGTAGACTGTCAAAACTGCATTTCTAGCTGCAAAGTCTTCAAAGTCTTCAAACTCTTGGCCTGCAGCATCCAATGTGAGGCTTCAGTCACCGACTCCGCCAAAAGAGTGCTGATACTGGGATACCTGCTGCACCCAACTTCAGGCTATAGTCACTGGCTGCCTACTGCAGTTTCTGATGTTAAACCACCTGATATCTCGACCAACAGCATCCCATATCTAGTTATAGTTACATTCTTGCTTCCTTCTTCAATATCTATAAACTATTAAGAGAATACACTTAATGTGTCACCACTGTGTGTACTTCACACATCTTCTGTCCTCATAGATTATTACATTGTGTCCTGTAATATTAATTGGACATGATATGAATTTCAGAGAATAACAGAGTACATAGAGATGTTCATTGTCTATATGTACGATTTACCAGAAGGAATGCAGAATTATATGAACATGTTTGCTGATGATGCCAAGCTATTGGGGGATAGTAAGAAACTTAGACGATTATCATTCCCTCAAGAAGACCTGCACAAAATAAGTGTATGGAGCAACACTTGGCAAATGGAAATTAATGTGAATAAATCCCATGTAATGGAATGTGGAATAGGAGAAAATGGACTAAACACAACCTACAAATTATATGAAAAGGCTTTAAAGAATTCTGATCTAGGTGTGGCTCTGGATAAAAAAAAAACTCACCTGAGGACCTAATAAAGAACATTGTACTAGGAGCCTATGCTATCTTTCCAAATTTTGAATCGGTTTTTTAAATACATGGATGGCAAAATATTAACAAAATTTTTTGCGAATTGTGGAACCAAAATTGGAATATTCAGCGGTTGTTTGGTGCCCATATCTCAAGATGCACCTCAACATACTGGTAAAGGTGCAAAAACAAAATGGCTCCCAGAACTGAAAGATGAGCTATGAGGAGAGGCTAGAAGTGTTTAATATACCAAAACTAAAAGATAAAAGAAAAAGTTGCTATATGATCACTACGTACAAAATAGTAATGGTAATCAACAAAATTGATGAATTCCTGAAATCTGGAACTTCCATAGATCATAGATTTAAGCTAAGGAAACAAAGCTACGAAATAAACATTAGAAAGTTCACTTCTGCAAACAGTGTGTTAGACAGTTGGAGAAAGTTAAGCGAGATGATGGTGGAGGCCAAAAACTTGGTACAGAACTTTAAACTCAACAGCGCCGGCCAACAAATGTCGTTGAGAGTTGTGTGTTTTTATTTTTAATTATGCTATATTTTAATGTTTTTAATGTTTTCTTACTCTTTGTGTTTTGAAATGGAAATAGTTTAGTTTGGAAACATTTTGACATTAACTTTACCTGAACATTTATAAAAACAATTAAAATATGTCCTTAACGATTGCACTTTGAAGTTTTTGTCAAAAACAGGTGCACAGTGCAGGGTTTAAAGTGTCATATGATAAAGAGTACCGGGAAGAAGTGACATCACGAGCGTATCTCTCATCCTGTAACTACACTTATGTAATTACCCCTGATGCCACCACAACATAAGTGATGACAACATAAGTGATGACAACATAAGTGACTTGAAGAATACAACCATTGTGATGGGATCCCTGGATTGGAAAGTTCTCGTAATCCATCCTATAGTATCATTTTTGTGGCTGACGCAACATTTGCTTGGTTATGCTCCCTAAACGTTAGATCGTCGGATATCATTATTCCCAAATCCTTGACATGCTGTTTACCTATTATGGACAGATTCAATTGTGTTTTGTACTCTGTATTATGTTTCAGATCCTCATTTTTGCCGTACCTGAGTACAGGCATACCTCAGAATAAGAGTTTAATCTGTTCCTGGAGACGCCTCGCCTTCCGAAAACTCGCATTCCGAAGTTAATTTCCCCATAAGAAATAAAGGGAAATGAATTAATCCGTTCCTGACTACCCCAAAAACCCCACATCAAACTAAATTTTTATACCTAATTTACCTAATTCATCTAAATAAACCTACAAAACTGTGTTCCAGTTATTACTTACCTTGCTGTCGAGTGCTGTAGGCGTATGGAAGATGGTGAGGAGGGGGGAGGAGGAGAGGAGTTACTGTTTGGAAGGGGAGTCCCCTTCCATAATCACATCACATAACCCCATGCCTTGTAACACTATGGATACCACTTCTCTTTCTAAATTTTTCAAACCAGCCCCTGCTTGCCTTAAACTCTTTCTTATCTGCATCACTCGTTGCAGGGGTATTCTTTAGAAGGTCTTCGTGCAACACCCTGGCTTTCTCACAAATAATGGCCTCCGAAACACTATCACCCCTCAACTCCTTGTCGTGTATCCAAATTAATAACAACTTTTCCACTTCTTCAAGTATTTGTGGTCTTTGTGCCGTTAATGTTCTTACTCCTTTTGCCACTTTAGCACCCATAATCTTATTTTTCTTCTTAAGTATAGTGCATATTGTTGATGTGGCTTTGTTGTACTGCCTACAAAGTTCAACAACACGTGTACCGTTCTCATGCTTCCAAATGATCTCTTGTTTCTCCTCTATTGTCATCCTCACATGAGCTTTCTGGCCTTTATCTTTACCACTGGCTTTCTTGGGACCCATGGTGAGATATATAATAACAAATTGTATAGACAAATCACCAAAAATCCAACAAAACACTGAAAATCCGCGAGAAGAATTGATGTGGGGGTAGTCACTGAGCGCGAGACAATAATAAACTGAGGGGCGGCGGGGCGGAGGGGCGACGATCGCCGAACCACCGCACGCTAGGTCGGCTGTACGCGTATCAACAAACTCGCGTCCAAACTCGCCTCCCGAAGTAACCATCGCCTTCCGAGACAAATTTTTGGAGTAAATACACCTCGCCTTCCGAAAACCTCGCATACAGGGACAATCGCATTCCGAGGTACCACTGTACCTGGAATTTATCACTGTTAAACATCATGTTATTTTCTGCTGCCCAATCAAAAACTTTGTTGATATCTGCTTGTAATTTTTCAATGTCTTCAGCAGAGGTAATTTTCATGCTGATTTTTGTGTCATCTGCAAAGGATGACACGAAGCTGTGACTTGTATTTTTATCTATATCCGATATGAGAATAAGGAACAGCAGTGGTGCAAGGACTGTACCTTGAGGTACAGAGCTTTTAACTGCGCTTGGACTTGATTTGATTGACTGTTACTCTTTGTGTTCTGTTCGACAGGAAATTGAGTATCCAGCGTCCTACTTTACCAGTTATTCCCATTGACCTTATTTTGTGTGCAATCTCTCCATGATCACATTTGTCAAAAGCCATTGCAACGTCTGTATATACTAAATCTGCATTTTGCATTTCTTCTAGAGCTTCTGACATATTGACATTTTGACATATTGTGTGCTCAGCTGTCTGTTCTACAATCCCTTCAGAATGGATTTTTCATAAACTTTATACATTTGGAGTTATAATTTTTTTTGGTCTAAACTTGCCACAGATTTCAAATGCCATATTGACATTTTTTTTTACAGTAAACTATACTGAAAACCTATACTGTATTCTAATTTGATGAAAATGAAGATCATATGCTATTCTGAGAGAATAATAACACCAAATGAACAATTGGTGATAGTTTATATTTTCTATTACCATTTGAAAATCCGAAGTTTTCAATATTCAATTTTAAAATTAGTTTTCATTCTCTTGTTTTTCAAGTTATGTTGTGATCATTTAGACAAAGTTGGAGCATTTGCATACATGTAGTTGATTATGCAAAAAAAAAATTAAGTGTTTGTGCAAGTTTTAAAAACTTGTTATGTCAAATCATATATATATGTTTTGCGCGGTTTAAGGGTTAAACGATAAAATTCGAAAGAGTATTTGTACAAAATGAAATCTAAAGAGAACCAGACACAATAATAATTCCAGAGAACAGTACAGAGCACATAGAGGTGTCTAGCCACTGCATTGCGCAAAGCACTTTAAGGCGCTCTGAGGGTTGTGTGATTTTTTCTGGGGAGCCTTATCGGCTCCCCGGAGCTCCCCGGTTGGCATGCTGCTCTCAGGTGGGTTTCTCGCCTGTTTCCAGTCCCAAAATGAGACTGCGCGGTTCATTCTGGATTTGTCCCGTTTGAACCCGTGGGTTTATTGCCCCTCCTTTTGGATGACTACTCTGTCTCAGGTCCGTCTTCTCTTGGAGTCGGGCGCTTGGATGGTGTCCCAGGACCTCAAAGACATGTATTGGCACTTGCTCGAGATTGCACCAGTGCTAATACAAAACCGAGCCAGTCAGGGACTGGCTCGGTTTTGTTGTGGGGCATCAAGG